CTGAAAAGCACGGACGATCACATGAAACACGTTGTTTCATGGGAAGAGTTGGAAGGATTCATGTTAAGGAAGGTAAGTCAATCTCAAAAGGACAGGTATAACATGAGTCCCCTGAGGTAAGTATAATCAGCACAGCAGGAATAGAAGAATAGACACTTATCTCACAATAAACGGGTGGAAATATAGGTAGTCGAGGGAGGTAAGACCACACCCGGGGAGGTACATGTGAGTCCACCATAAAGAAGGGGCAAGGGGGAAGGAGGAGGGAGAATGGAGGTGGTGATAAACTGAGATGATGACATGGGGGTGGGGGGAGAACAGCGTATTAATCCACCTCGGGGGAGAGTATTGGTTGTGCCTCCATAGAATTGGAATGTGCATACAGACCCCACCATGATGTGCCAAACCAGGAGGGCAATGTAACACATGGAGGAATCGATAAAAAGACGGGAGTACAGGGGAGCCCCAACCAGAACCAGCCTGACCCCCACCATGGAAGGGAGTGCCACAGAGAATGACAATAGACCTTCTGGTGGGGGAAAGGAACAGACCTACCATACCCAGACAGAAGCGGAAGCACATGAAGGGGGAGAAAGGGAGTGCAGCATACCCTAGCCCACCAAGCCTTAAGAATAATATTCCCACTCAGAGCAGCCAATGCACAGAGAGGACCACATGGCAGGCCCCACTATGAGACGCGCCATCCGGCACTGACCCATAGCCTTACATGGGACAACACTGGAGACACAGTGTGGGATGTGTGACTGAGCTGAACCCACCACACTCAGGCAAAGCACTAAGGGCGTGCAATAGAACAGCAAGGGGAGCAGAACAAGGAAGTCCCGAGGGAGAATTAAAAAATAGGACTTTGGGGCCGGGGAGTGGCACCCCATTAGACCCAACCAGAAAACACCCCTAAAGGTCAATAAACAGACCTTGAACTATTTACAGGACTTTCTTTCTTTTCGATTTTGTATGTCATTCACTTTATGTTGTTGTTTCTGTCCTCACTTTGCTTTTCTGTGTCACTTTGTTTGACGCTGTCGTGTTTTTATGTGCCTTGATACGATAGGCTGGATAAACAATGTGGAGAAGAAAACAATGGGACCGATGGTTCCGGGGTTAATGGGAGAGAAGGAGGAGGGGGAAAGGAAGTAGTGTTAACCAATCCAGGGACAAGGGAACAAGTGATTCAAAACCAGTGGCATGGAGGGGGCGGGAGGCCTGGTAGGGAGTGATCAAGGGTGACATAACCGAGAGGAATTACTGAAACCCAAATGAAGGCTGAGCATGATAGTGGGACAAGAGGAAAGTAAAAGGAAATAGAGGAAAGAACTAGGAGGCAAAGGGCATATATATATATATATAATACAGGCATGTACATCTGTAAATATATTTATATATGATAATGGGAAAATAGATCTATGTACTTATATTTAAAAGTTTAGTATTAAGGTAGCAGATGGACATTCGGCCTCCAATCAAGTACTCCACAATACAAGAACACTTTGCTCAATTGAACGGACATTCCATGATATCCACCTTCCCTACATGATCGCTGAAGACAAATGGGTACATAAGCAAGTGTGGTGAAGAAGGGTGATGGTGCCTGGCTATCGAGAGATATAGTGTTTGGGTCTTAAAGGTTTGAAGGTAAACAGGGGTCATCTAGCCCAGAAGCAACAAAGCCCACAGGGAAGAAGCACACCAGCCTGTGTGATCATGAGGTGTCGAAGGGATCAGGTATCAACCACCAAAGAACAAAAAAACCTTATCATCTGCAATGAGGGAGAGTGTGGGGTTGGGACCCAAGGCCCATCTGCAGGCAACTGGACATCCCTTTGCAGAGGGGTAGCGGGGAGGAGACAAGTCACTCAGGGTGCAATGTAGCATCAATGAAACATACAACTTTCCTCTAGTTCTTAAATGACACCCCCCCTCAACTATCATGATCCCAATTCTACCTTACAAACCTCGCTAGACCAGAGGATCTACACTGGTGCACATAGGAACTGGAAACACAGGGACTCTAGGACAGATGATCCCCTCAGGACCAGTGGTGATAGTGTTGATACTTGGAGGGTGGAGGGAAGGTGGGGTAGAAAGGGGGAACCAATCACAAGGATCTACATATAACCTCCTCCATGGGTGGTAGACAACAGTAAAGTGGGTGAAGGGAGACGTCGGGCAGTGTAAGAAATGATAAAATAATAATAATTTATAAATTATCACAGGTTCATGATGGAGGGGAAAGCGGGGAGGGGAAAAATGAGGAGCTGATACCAAGGGCTCAAGTGGAAAGCAAATGTTTTGAGAATGATGAGGGCAACAAATGTACAAATGTGCTTGATACACAATGTATGTATATGTATGTATGGATTGTGATAAGCGTTGTACAAGTCCCCAATAAAATGATTAAAAAAAATTTTAAAGATATATTCTAAATACCATGGGGCAGGCTGATAGTCAGAATAACAATAGAAAAAAGGAAAGGCAGTGTAGATATAATAATGCATAAAGCAAATCCAAAATTTTTTTCTAGGACCATAACTCTCAAAAAACAAAACAAAATATCCACAAATGTCCAAAGATAGTTTCTGTAATGGCACAGTATTCCTAATAGCTAAATATTATTCATTATATGTTATTTGAGGAAAGTGTCTAAATGTGAGTACATTTATTTTTAAGCAAATCAAATGTATTTTTCATACATTCTATAATATAAAAACATTAGGCCGATAAAACAATGAGTGGATTTGTTGGGTCTGTGTTCCAGGGTTCTTTATGATATAGCAAAGTGTAAATTGGAAGGACCTGGAAGCAGCTCTCTTGACTGATAAAAATGGTAATAGAAATAAAAAACTCCCAAATCAAACTTACTGCCATTAAGTTGATTCTCTCTCAGCAACCCTGTAGGGCAGAGTAGAACTGCCCCTGTGGGTTTCTGAGACTAACTCTTTGCAGGAGAGAAAGCCTCATCTTTATTTCTTGATGTGAGTAGTGATTCTAGCTCTGACCTTGCAGTTAGGCCTAACCCTAGGCCTAACCCCAAACCTAACCTTAATCTAAACCCTAACCCTAGGACTAAACCGAACCCTAACCCTAACACTAGGCCTAATCCTAACCGTAATTCTAACGCTAACCCTAACCCTAACCATTGGCCTAAAACTGAACCTAAACTTAACCCTAACCGTCACCCTAACAATAACCCTAACGCTAACCAAGTCCTAACTCTAACACGAAGCATAAACCTAACCATAACCCTAAACTTAGGCCTAACCCTAAACCTAACCATAACCATAACCAAGTGTAACCCGAAACCTCAACCTAATCCTAACGCTATAAAAATACACATGTAAGGCATATTTATTATAAAACCCCACATGTACTAAAGCAAAAGTAGAATGTCATCTTCTCATTTCCACAGATAACCCAAATTCACATTTTTTTTTACTTCTTGACATTTTCTGGGATGGTGTTCACTTTTGAGATCCACATTCCATGTAAGGAATGTTTGATTCCGCTTTTTCCTTTACATTGGGAGCATTCCCCCATTGAACCCAGCGTGTATATTGAAATACTAGGAACGAATCTGAGTGCAGAATCTGATTCTACAAAATTATGTATTTGTTTGGATTGTTTCTAATATATTCTGAAATATGTGAAAGAAAAACTACCTTTATCCTTTTCTAATACACCATGAGCTACCGATTGGTGCTCAGCCATAAAAATAATTGCTTAGAGACAAACTGTTGGCAATTCAATCATAAGCATTAAGTATACAAGTGTGAGTTCCAGAGATAATCACCCAATAATAAAGAGACTACCTGTTTTTCGTTTTTCTTGTCATATCCCTCTATGGTTAAACTACCTTGTCATCATTCAATAATACCCAACTTAAGTCAACTGCCATCAGGTCAAGTGGAATTCATAGGAACCCTAGAGTAATAATCCAGATCAACGCCATTGGGTTGAGTGGCCCCGTCATGTCCCAATGAACACATGAACTTAGCTTGGCCAATCAGCGCATAATTGTTAGACTTACTAATTAGTTCAAAATAACTTGTGAAATTCCAACTATATAAACCTGAATCAGTGTGTAATTGGATTTGCTAATGACCACGTCCCCCACAACATGAAGGCCACTTGTCTAAAAATAAATCCTAAGGATGGAGAGGTAACAAACACATAACATGTTTAAAAATCTTGAAATTAGATATATCTCAAACCAACTAAACCCAGAGCATTTTCAATGTAGTTCCCTTTTTCCTTCAGATTTTTAAGTGTCTTTGTGAGATGTTAAGAAAAAGAATCTCAAGTAAATCATGTCCATAAATTACCACAACAAAGTATTTTTGGAAATTTTTTTCTTAATAAAAAATAGCATATGTGCATTTCATTCCGGATCCTTTCCCCTCCTTAAAGAAAACACTGAACCACTACTAGATGATTGCGAACATTCAAAAGTAATATACAACTATTACATTTTTATATCAATGCTTACAAATATTGCCTCTTTGGCTGTAATAATGGTATTGTGTTACATGCAGATGTATATACACACCTACACACCATCATGTACATTATTAATTTTAATTTTCACTTTTACAGTGCAAAGTTGAACAATATATACACTGTTTTATATTTATATTTAAATTTACAGATAAGGATATCTACAGGAATAATTCCAAGATGTAGACATTTATGATAAGAAGAGTAGGTGCATTTTAAAATCTAGTGGATACTCTTCTCTAAGAGTTTGCACAAATGTATGCTTTCACCTGTTAATTGCTATATAACTTGCTGAGCAAATCAATACAGATGGTTTAAGTAATTCTAAATGATCTAAAGGGCTGATCTCATTTACTAGATTGGATAAGCTACTGTCTCAATGATTATCATCTACTGTACAGCCATTATTCATTGAGCTTCCCGTAATTCAAAAATTTGTATGCCAGTGAAACAAACTAAAGATGTAACATGTATATTTATGTACTCACATTGATGTCTTCCAGATCTAAATTATTTAGAAGAATATTGTTCCTCTTCCAGATGATGGGAGGTCTCAGGGCTCCCTGAATGGCACAACTCAGAACAGCACTTTGTCCCACAGTAGTTGCAGTAATGCTTAGTTTCTGGTCTTCAGGAAGGCTCAACTGGATAACCTCTGTAAACAGTGTAGTAATGTTGATGAGCATGCAGATTAAAGAATGATAGGCATTCCAAATGTTAGTAATTAAGGCTTTTAATTTGCTCTGCTAAAATGAAGTAAATTGTTTTCAATAAAAGACGAGAATGACAATTCAGTTGATTTGATTGATAGGCATTCTAAATAATCAAAGAACTACTAAGCTTGAAAGGGATTTCAGAAGTAGGGTTGAAATAAGTAGGGTTGTATTATTGGACCCAAAGAAGAGAGAAATTATTTAACTGCCAAATTGACATTTACTGTGTCTTTGACATTGAAATTAAAATGGCAATTGTTTATTCACTGATAAATTTATATTGCACATGAGGTGAAAGTACTGCTGGCTGGCTTCACTGAACATCAGGGATAGCTTAGTGGATAAATGCATCATTATGCTGGGAAACATATATTGACTTCAAAGGAATACGATTTATTTGTGAAACTGACTGATGTTCACAGATCTAACAGCAATTAAATAAAATGCTATGTGCTGCATTTATAAGGGGTAGTAAGTAGGGTTACAGTACAACCAATCTCAGAATCTCATATTTTCATGGTAAATACTGCCATTTGAACCAGCCAGTGAATACCTTAGTTTTCCTAATTGTGCTAAATTGTGAAAATACTACTTGAAATCGGGATATGATTTTGCTTCTCTATTTTCAGAAAGTCTTAAGTAGAGCATGAGAATTAACTGTGTCAGTTTCAATTTTATGAGAGGTACCTCAGAAAATATCAAGTCTGCACACAAGTGAAATCTGCCCTTTCATTTCAGCTGGCTTTCATAGACACTCTCACTGCTCCATGTTGTGACTGAGCCTTGTATTTTGACCTTGCTCTGTTATAACAGGGTTAAAAACATAGTGGACTCTTCAAATTTAAATTTTGATATGAAAAGGTGCCATTTTGGTCCTTATGTTGTGATTGATGATGTCTTCCTTGGAGGGTTAGTGATAGAGTAAGGTTGACACACAGAGAGATGTAAAGGGATGGAGAGGGAGGAGAGGACATCCTGGCCCACCAAGCCCCAAGGACGATGTTCCTGCTCAAAGCAGCAAATGCACAGGGAGAACCGTAAGGCCGGCCCCACCACAGGACATGGCATCTCTCACTGAACCATGACGCTGAGGGGGCCAGCACTGGAGACACAGTGCAGGAATCATGCACGGACTGACCCCATCACGCTGGGGCCAGGCACTGAGGGCATGCAGCAGAACAGCAGGAGGAGCAGAGTGATGAAACCCCCGGGGAATACCAAAAGTAGACTTTGGAGACAGAGTGTGGCACCCCATCAGAATTGACTGGAAAACACTCGTAAAGGCCAACAAACAGACCTTGAACTATTTATATGCTTTTCCATCTTTTTCCATGGCTTTCTTTTTGTTAATGTTATTTTGTGTCTGTTTGTTGCTGTTGTTATCGTTTTGATGGTTTTGACTTCCTTTGTTGTTTTATTTGGCTTTGCCTGGGTTTTGCATTTGTTAATATATCTGCATGCCAATCTAGATAATAGAGGAGGGATAAATAATTCAGAGATGAAAAGAACGGGACCAATAGTTCCGGGGGATGGGGCGGTTCAGGAGAAGGGGGGGTGGGAGAAAGGAAATGGGGGGGGGGGTGGACCAACCCAGGGACAAGGGAACAAGTGAACTAAAATCAATGGAAGGATGCCTAGTGGGGCTTAATCAAGGGCAATATAGCAGCGAGGAATTACTAAAATCGAATGAAGGCCAATGATGGTGAGACAAGAGGGAAGTAAAAAGGAAATAGAGGAAAGAACCAGGAGTCAAAGGACATTTACAGAAGCCTAAATATAGGCATTTGCATATGTAACTATATATATAATGAGAGGGGAATAGAACTATGTACTCATATCTATATGTTAAGTATTAAGGCTGTAGATGGACATTGGGCTTCAACACAAATACTCCCTCAACACAAGAACACTTTGTTCTAACAATCCAGCATTCCGTGATGCTCACCTTCCCGACAAGATCACTGAAGACAAAATGGGTGCACAAGCAAATGTGGTGAAGAAAGTTGATGGTGCCCAGCTATCAAAAGATATAGCATCTGGGGTTTTAAAGGCTTCAAAATAAACAAGTAGCCATCTAGCTCAGAAGCTACAAAACCCACATGGAAGAAGTACACCAGCCTGTGTAATCATGAGGTGTCAATGGAATCAGGTAACAGGTATCTAAAACTCAGAATAAAACCATACTCAATGTGAATGAGGGGGTCCATGGAGAAGAGACCCAATTGCCATCTGTAGACAATTGGACATCTCCTCACAGAGGGGTCACAGGGAAGAGATGAGCAGTCAGGGTGCAGTATACACCAATGAAACACACAACTTTCCTCTAGCTCTTTTGTGCTTCCTTCACCCCACTATCATGACCTCAATTCTACCTTACAAGTTGGATTAGACCAGAGCATGCACACAGATACAGATAAGAGCCCACAACACAGGGTATCCAGGATAGATAAACCCCTCAGGGCCAACAATGAGAGTAGAGATACCAGGAGGATTAGAGGAGGATGGGGGGAGAAAGGGGGGATTGATCACAAGGATCAACCTAGAACCCCATCCTAGGGGGACGAATAATGGAAAAGTGGGTGAGGGGCAATGTAGGATGATGTAAGATATGGAAAAAATAATCTATAACTTACCAAGGGTTTGTGAGGGAGGGAGGGTGGGCAGGGGGTGGAGGAGAAGAAATGGGGAGCTGATATCAGGGGCTCTAGTGGGAAGAGAATGCTTTGAAATGATGATGGTGGCAAATATACTTGACACATTGGAGGAAAGTAAGGATTGTGTTAAGAGATGTAAGAACCCCCAATAAAAGTATTTTAAAAAAGAAAGTAAGGTTTAAATTTTTACTGAATGTGATCAGGAATGACCATTATCATCTCTTCCACAAACTCTCTTCCTTTCACCCTGCTGTCTTTTCTGCCAAATCCTATCTCCCTATTGGGGGGAAATGAAATGCTAATCAAATGATATTTTTTTGAATAGCGCTACTCATTGAACAGTTTTTTTGAAATGTTTGTTTCTTGTATCTTAAGGTGAGGATGCAACATATGACAACTCTTTCCTCCAGGCAACCCCCTCACCCACATACACATATTAAATATAAATTCTAAGTCATATTTGTCTTCCTGCCACATTGGTTGCCCACCAATATCTAATGGTATAAACAAAATTAGATTGACCATTATATTCTGTCATACAAAATCTAAAAATAGTTATTAAATTCATCATTGTTTTATGTTTTCAAAGATGGGATAAGCATGATTTTAAAATGAAACCATCTATAGAGGCAGATGCTCAATCAAAGTTTATTCTCTGGTCATTAATGGCTAATAGAAATGGTAGCAAATATCTAGCTCGACTTTTTGTATGCACAGTTTAATTTTCTATTAAGTGTATTTATTTGTTTTCAGATTTTATTTATATTATTCCTTGGTTAACAACAACATAGGGCATAGTGAAATCTTCTTATTAAAATATCCATTCTGATACATAACATGTATCATCCCTCACCTCAACCTCATTACCATCAAGTTGATAGAGACTCATTGCAACCGACACCACAGCGTAGAACTGCCCTGATGACTTTCCAAGAGTATCATTCATTATGGGAGTTGGAAGCCCTATCTTTTTCGCTCAGAGCCTCTGGGAGTTTTCAACTGCTGACCTTGCAGTTAACAGTCTAATTTGTAACCACCATGCCAACAGGGTTCCTTATCATATATCATATAAATCATATATATCACCTATGTAAAATATAAACATACATATATTATAAGCATCTATTTATTTAAAGGAAATATATATGACCAATTAAGAATACAATTTTCTTGATATTTGCAAGTCCATTGTTTCTTTAACAGTGTACATAGGAAAAAAGTACATCATAAAAGTAATAACATCATTTACAATACAAGTACTTTGCAAGAATTATTAATGATTTTTACATTAGCAATTCTGAATTCTAGATTCCAGTTTCTCCACAAAATCATGAGAGTGGAAATGGAACATCAGTTCTGAACACACCATGGTAACTTTGGCCATCATGACATGCAGAAATATAATCGCTACTAAGTCACCCTGGGATCTCTTTACTAATCTTTTGCATCTGGAATCTGGTCCTGGAGTATTCAAATTAGGGATTCTTTTGTTGGTTATGTATTACAATGTTAATTAGATAATATGAACATCTTAGAATAAATGATAATAATTGGTATAACATTATGCTGGGCCTTTTTGCTAGTATAATTTGTTTTCTTTCTGCAAGAATGTATAATTTAAAATAACAATTACTGTTCACTGAGGGAATATTAATATGCACATAGAAACTTTTTTAAAGTGAAGGCTATATTTTGAAAGGGTTTTAATAACTATTTTGGTAATATGTGTTATTAAAGAATGATAGGTACTTATAGAATTCTTTAACATTTTCCTTGCTTATTACATACTGCATATTTTACTTCTTCCCTGGTATATTCCATAAATTTGCATACATAAAGCAAATATGCTCACTGATTACTTCTCAAAGTCAAGAGCTCCTACCCTTAAATGAACTTAACAGCAAAATTTATTTTAGGTACAAAACTCTTTTATCATCGATACTTGGCTTTCTGAAAGTTATTAGCAAGCAAAGAGTTAATCTGACAAAATCACAAATGGTAAACATTTTATTTTTGAATTCCATAAAGACTTTTAATATTGAATAACTAATTTATGAACACTTACCAAATAGATATATTAATTTTCATAGCCAAATAGTAATTGTCTAAAAATGAATAAATAGTCTAAAAGATTAATCATAAATTTATTTTTAATTCAATTCCTAAACACTTAATCCTTTATCACTTATGGTTGATGTATATTGACAGGTACAAGTTCTTGCTAACATATTTTAATTGCTCATGTTTTATCTTAGAACCTATTATAGTTAGAAAATCATTGCAGCAAA